TGATCCCTTTTGTCTCAGCCTCTCCTCACAGTTAGCACAGCCAAGCTGGGTCACCACCTGGTCCCCAGTCCTATCACTGCCTGGATGCTAAGCAACCACTCTACGATTTAAGCCAGTGGCTCTCAAACTTTTTTACTGGTGACCCCTTTCACATAGCAAGCCTCTGAGTGCGACCCCCTCTTATAAATTAAAAACACTTTTTAATATAGTTAACACCACTATAAATGCTGGAGGCAAAGCGGGGTTTGTGGTGGAGGCTGACAGCTCACAACCCCCCATGTAATAACCTCATGATCTCCTCAGGGGTCCCAACCCCCAGTTTGAGAACCCCTGATTTAAGCTACTCCCGTGCTCTGAATAGGTCCCTGACTCACCCATGTCATGCTAGAGGCTGCAAGGACCCCAAAGAAGCCTGTTGTTCCTTTATGAAGTGGTCATGGGAGGTTTTCTTCTTGTGGGTTGGCTAGCTCAGGTGGTCAGAGTGGGGTGCTCTTAGGGTTTGAGCCCTATGGTGGACACAGGCCTTAGGAAGATGTTTTTCCCCTTTTGTCCCACTGCTCTGAGCAAGGAGGCCAAGAATAGGGAAAGAGGCAGGCTGGCTGCCTCATATGGAAATGGCAAGAGTCCTCCTTACCCCAGTGTCTGGAGAACACATTACGGCTTGAGCTAATTCCCCACCTTCAGTTAACCTGTCTCATGCCACAGATACAACGAGCTGGCTCTGGGGTCTTGAGCAAAGCAACAAGCAAGGCGTGGCTCCCCCCTGCCACAGCAAAGCAGGCTCATATGCAAAAGGAGCACTTTACAATTTGATCTAACCCACCTGACAAAAAAAAACCACTCTGATGTCATCTCATCGCAGCTGTTTCCTGTAAGGCTGTGGGAAGGGCCTTTGACACAGGCAGCCTAGCTCAGTTGGTAAGAGTGGAGTGAATAATACCAGCATTGCAGGTGTGAGTCTCTGTGCTGGTGGTTAGCTCCCTGTAGACTGGCCTTTCCCTGAGTGCTACAGGCAAAGGCCTAAAACAAAAGAGAAGGAGGTGGGAAAACCACACTCCCATCCCCAGAGAGCAGGGGAGAGCCATTGCCCCAGCACCTCAAGAGTGTAGACATCAATCCTACTATTTCTTGCATGTAAAGAGAGTGATAATCCCCCTGATGAGACACTGGCCCCAACCAGCCCACATTGTGCCAGAGGCCACAGAGACTCCCCACAGCAGCCTATTGCTCCTGTCAAAAGGACCAAAGGAAGCATACTTCTTTGGGGCTGGCTAGCTCAGGTGTTTAGAGCAAGGTGCTAGTGATACCTGCAAAACCTCTCTGCCCCCAGACTCACCCCCACTGGTTCCAGCCTGCTCTCTCTGACCCCCAATGACTTGCCTTTTGTGACCCCACTACCTCCCAACTCATACTCATTGACTCTCTGCATGAGCCCAACTGCCTTCAAATTCATAAGCACTGACCCCTGCGAGATGCCCCACTGCCTCCAGACTTGCCATCATTGACCCTGCTGTGACATGTTGCCTCCAAATTTTTCATCATTGACCCCTGAATGACCCTAACACTTGCCCGCCTTCAGCCACCAGTGAGCCTCATTGCCTCCAAATTTATACTCATTGACCCCCTAAGTGCCCCCCATTACCTTCAGGCTTGCTCCCTCGGACCACAGTGACCACTAATATCTCTAGATTCACACTCATTGACCCTGATTGTCTCCCAGTTTACCTCTGCATAAGTCCACTGCCTTGCTACTTGCCCTAACTAACCCCCTGTGAGGCTCCCTGCTGACAAATTTATCGCCATTAACTCCGCTACCTCCAGCCTTTCTCCACGTGGCCCCCACTGACCTCTGCCATCACTGACACCTGCATCAATTGGCTGGCAACAAATTTAATCTCATTGACCCTTGAAAGAGCATCACTAACTGTAGCCTCTCTGTGACACTGGTGTAACTCCACTGCTCTCCAAATTCAGCATGTACGACACCCACTACCTCCTGCTGTGGTCTATCAAAACACTGGCTTGAAATTTATCATCAGAGACCTCTCTGCATGACCCACTGATACATCCAGTCCCCACTCCCTGTGTCCTCATGTGATGCCAGTGCCTCTAATTAGAGGCTCATTGGCATTGGAAATTTCCACTACCCTCAGCTCTGCCATGTCTATGACCTTGTGTGACCCTTTCCCATCCAAATTTACACGCTTGACCGCTGCATCCCCACCACTGCCTCCAGCCCTGCTCTCTGTGACCTAGTGAGAACCCTCTGCCTTCAAATTAACTACAGTGAACTCTCCAAAACAACAGCCTGAATTGTGTTACCCCTGTGCAAATGCTCTGCCTTCAGATTCAACGATTTTAAATGCTCCATGACACCACACTTATTCCCTATATCCTCGTGTGACCTCTCTGCATCCAAATTAAGCCTCATTGACTGCTACATAACCTTTGTGACCTCATGTGAACCCCCAACTTCAAATTAAACCACATGAACTCTGTATGACCCCAGCCTTGCTCGCTGAACTCTGTATGACCCCAGCCTTGCGCGCTGTGTCCTCATTTGACCCCTCTGAATCCAAATCGATCCTCATTGACCCATATTTGACCCCAAAGTACCTGCAGCCCTACACTCTGTGACCTCTCTGCCTTCTTATTAAACCACATTGAACTCCACATGACCTCAACTTGGTCTCTGTGTCCTCATTTGACCCCTCTGAAGCTAAACTGATCCTCATTAACCTCTGTGTAACCCCATAGGAGCTCCAGCTCTGCTCTCTGTGACCTTGTGTGAACCCTGTGCCTTCTAATTGATCCTTGCTGAACTCTGTATGACTCCAGTCTTGCTCTTTGTATCCTCATTTGACCCCTGTGCATCCAAACTGATCTTCACTGGCCTCTGTATGATCCCCCACTGAGTTTAAAATGACTCATAGTGTCCTCTGTATCAGCCCCATTGTCTCCAGCTTTCACTCTTTGTGACCCCACTGCCTCCGAGTTGATCCTGAGTGACCGCCTGAAGGTGTCCCACTACCTCCAGCCCTGCTTGCTGTGGCATCACTTACCCCAGTGCCTGCACAGCTATCCTCATTGATCTCTGCATGTCCGGCTCTACCTCAAGCCTTTTTCTCTGTAACCCCCCCAGTAGTCCCTGATTGAACCCCAATTCCGACCTAGCTTTTCATCTGTGAGCCCTGTCTGTCTCCGTTTCCCCTAAACTTGCTCTCCTTGACCCCGTGTGACCCTGACAGCCTCCCTTTTCCCCCCTGCATGACACAATTAACTCCAGCCTCACCCTTCTATGGCCCCCTTTTCCTCTAGACTCTTCTGCCCTTACTCCTGTATTGCCTATTGCCTCCTGACCTGCCATCGTAACCCGTGAATAGTAACCAAAAACAGGCTAGTGAGGCGACCGAGTCACAAGTGCCTTCTCCATCTCCTGAGGTGGTGGGTTTGATTCCACTGGAGGCTCCCTTAGTTGAGGCTTTGCAAGAGACTTGCTCTGTTTCCTCGTTGCCATAGCCGGTGGGGAGAGGAGGGGGGAGCAAAAAAGGCGGTGTGAGACAGGGTCACTGAAGAACACAGGTATCCATCACACTACTTTTTGCAAGGAAGGCAATGGCTCCATCATTTGGACTCAGACCACGACCGGAGACTGTCCCCGCCATGCCCATGTCATGCCATAGGCCACAAAGTTCCCTTGGCTGCCTGTTGCTCCTCTCCAAACATCCAGGGGGAGCGTGCTTCTTGTGTGCTGACTACAGTGTGGTGCTAATAATGCCTGTGTTGTGGGTTTGACTCCCCATGGTGGTCACTTGGTGACTGTGGGCCTGGGGAGCGTGGCTTTTGCTCTTTTACCTGACTGCTATGGGAAGAGGGGGCAAGAAAAGGGAAGGATAGGGGCTGGCTACGTTGGAGGGTGTGGGGGAAAGTCCTTGCCCCACAATCTGGAGGGTACTGACGTCAATCCCCCTGCTGCAACAGAGCAGGCTGGAGAATGCAGGCCTCCATCCTGCTGCCACTCACATGTAAAGTGAGCGTTCAACCACTGGAGCTAATTCCCCAGGCTCTCAGCCAGCGACCGCTGTTGCATGGTGAACAAGGGCCAGAGCCGAGCAGCTTTCACCCTCACTATGGCTTGGGAGGCCAAGTGAGGAAAAGGGTTACTGGAGATGCTCAGCCCCTTGGCTGACAACAGCTTCTAAACAGAAAGATCAAAGGGCCTGCACTCCACCCTGCCAACCTCCTGTTGTGGCTCAGGGGCTGGACTAGGTTACCTGCTGAGGTGCCTTCCAGCCCTACATTTCTATGACTATGACTCTATAAACATGCATTGCTGAACTATGGTGCAATGACACTGATCAGTGGGATCCCGTCAGACCTGGGTATAATCTATACAGGCAGGGCAGATTAGGTCACACAGGGCGGGGAGGAGTCTACATCTGAAACTGTAGATCAGCTGTAGAACTCCATACTCTGAGAGCAAATAGTAATTATGGCAACAGGCAAAAGGAGGTGGTGTCCCTTCTACATCGATGGTTAGCTTACAGTAGTGTCAGTACACCCTGACCTAAGCAAGTAGAGATCGATATTTCTGATCTCTCCACATGTTTAGGAGGGAAAAACACAAAGTTTGAATTAGTTAACTTTACTTTAGACCCTGATACATTTACACAAACATTGCAGTAAAGATCACAAGAGAACATGCAAAGCAAGAAGCAATTAGAAAACTAGTTTCATGCATTTAATGAAATGTTACAGTAACAGAAGGTCATTATTCAGTTTGAATGGGAAACCCAGGCTAACAAAAGCATTACTCTTTTCAGCTGATAAATGTTTTCTCGGATTACATCTGTGTTTCAGGAGAAGCCCTGTGTGAATCTCACTCAAGTTATGTGCTGTTGGTTGCAGCTTGTTATGTGCTTTAATTTGTTGGTTCCAGAAAGAGGCAGAAGAGTCTTGATTAAACAACTTCAAAACAGACAATGCCGCTTGGGGCATACTGGGAGAGGTTCCACAAGACTTAGTGCAATTACTTAATGGAATGGTTAATTTCGTTGAATTCCAAATAACTTGGAAGTGGACCCATCTCCAGGATAACCTCCTTCCTACATGCTCTGCTCTCTTTCACACACCTCAAAGCTATGGATGGAGGTTTGAATTCTTAATCCAAAACAAAAATGATTCCTCAATCTATTTAGATGTTTCCAGGTTCAGATAGGCCAAATTTACACAGCTCTAGAAGCAAATATTGTAAAACCAACACACTAATAAAAGTTTTGACTAAGGGGAAAAAGTCAGACAGGTGATTCTGCAGGAGAAGTGCTGTGCTGCTCACACCCTACTCCTCATTGCTCAGGGGCTTAAAACAACAGGATGCTGTGAATACTAAAACAGAAAATGGAAGAATTAATAGAGAGAACAATCATCCGTACACTGACATTGGATATCTATTACAACAAGCCCATTCTCCCTCCTTTAGTTATTTTCACAATTCCATTTTGTTGGCTGTGCAATGTGTAAATTGACTGCAGAGACAGAGAAGTACCCCTTGCCCAGAGAATAAGGATAATTTCTCCTAAATCTTCATGTGTACCGTATTGCCAAATTTTCAGACTTAAGTGCCTAAAGTTAGGCACCTAAATTAAGTATTTGGGCTCCTAAATAAGTTTCTTGATTTTCAATTTCCAAGCACTCAAAATTCTCACAGTGACAGGCCACCGTCTTTCTATTTACACCTTTTAAATGACAGATAGACATGAGTCATGAGGTTCAGATCTTGATCTCAGGTTTCTTCCAGTCTCAGGATGACTTGACTCAGGATTCTTGTTTAAAATCTTTATACAGATACACACAAGCTTTGAATACAAACATTCTGAAAGTTTGTGGAAAAAGGGGTCTGGATCAGTTTCCATTTTGAACCCATCTCTTATCTATCAAAAAAACTGGTCAAGAAATGGCAGAATCTTTCTCTGGAAATTCCTACATCAGACTGAGTCATGAAATTGTCATTTAGACAAATAAATAAAATATCTCACCTTTTCCCTGCCCACAGCAGTTTGAATCCTTCATTGATTTTATCATATGGCAAAGTGTGGGTTATTAATGCAGCTGGGCTACACTGCTTGTTCATGTAATCAGACACCAGTTTAGGAAGAGGGGCCTTCAACTTCCACCCTTAAAAAAAACAAACAAACAAGCAAACAAAAACAATAGCAGCAGCCTATCAGAAGAATGTGACGTACATAATACCCATTCAAGAAGGTAGAGGGGACGAAAAATCATGTTCATAAGGTGAAGATGGCTTTAGCTGCAGATGTGTTTACCGTAACAATTAATTCTGCTTCACAAGACTACATTGGCATTCAGGACTCAAATCAGCACCCCAACACCTCAGAGCTGTAATGAGGTCACCAGACTGTGATTGTGAGGACACAGTTTGAATCTTTGTGTTTTGATTCCAGAATTCCTGCTAATGAGACGAGTAGCACCAGCGCTTCCTTGTCAGGATGGGTTGATTTAAATCAAAACTATTTAAATCACCGATTATAATAATGATTTAAATCAGCAAGCAGGAAACCTTAATTTAAATACTGAATTTTAGTATTGTTTCAATTTGTATTTTTTTTTGTGATTTTCTAAAAGAACCCAAAAGTTGATACTTAGTGGCTGGTAGACATTAAAACATGTTGATTTGCAACTAAATATAGCCTTTACACTAAATCTGGTACTTCTTATGCTAAACAGGAGGATACATGACAACTATACCCATTTATTTAACTTAACATATATTTATTTAGATTCTTAATTTTTAAAGTTTTATGTTAGAAGATGGTGAACGATGTATTTCTTATTTACTAGATGATGATTAACTTTTCACTTGTGATCGGTGTTAAGCTCTATTTGGATGGAAACTGGAACCCAAATAGAAATGTGCAAAAATGGCATTTTAAAAAATTACTTAAATGTGCTGGGTACATGAGAATTTTTTTCCAAACACATTTTGCATTTAAAGCTAACTGATTTAGTAAACTGTAGTTAGTGAATTGAAGTGATTCTTTCTAGTCACCCATGACCTTCAAGATTTTAGAACGAGTAGAATTTCATCTTCTCACACCTAGTTTTTATTTGATAGGAAGAAGAAATCAAGCTTTTCTGCTTTTTCAACTCCCAATTGTTTTCTTAACTTTGAATGAACTAGTCATTGAACTGAACTAGTTGAATAAATGGATATGGAGTATGTATGATCCTTGCACCTGCAGAAGAGATTACTGCTATCAAAAGCTGGGTTAGCAGTTCAACACACACTGGTTCCAGATGCTTAGCCAGTGACCTCTACTAATTCACTGGTTTGGCTTCCTTTAAAACTTCAGTAGCAAACATGGGCTGCTTCGTATTTTTCTATTTAGTGTAAATTATTTTACATACGTTGTCACAATTTCAAATGTAATTTTTAATAGGTTTATTTTTAAAAGAAAAATATATTTAATTTAAATAATAAAATCCAATCTAAATGAAAAAAATCTGGTATTTTTGATTTTTTTTTAAACCATCAATTTTTATCCACCCTGTTCCATACTATGCAATGTCTATGCAACTTGTAGCTTCCATCTCCTCTGTGAAGGTTGCATTTCCATCTCTGGCTGTTCTCCTGCAGCAGGACCTTTTCCTTGCTTAACCATGAGATCAAGATCAAGAGACTGAACGTTCAGACTCTGAATGTCACAAGTACATCAGAGCACTAGGACTGCACTTCCGCTTAACTCCTTACCTCCAATCAAACTCTCCTTCCATTGATGCCCAGAGAACAGCAGCATAGGGTCAAAGGAGATCTGTGATCCTGAAGGGGGTTCTCCTACCGGCACACAAGTTCCATAGCCCAAGTGGCACGATAGCAGGGCAGCCATCTGTTTTAGAACACAGACATGTAAAGAGGGCAGGAAGGTTATGAAACAAGCTTCCATTCAGAGCTGGTTGTAACTTTTCCATAATACTGAAGTTTGCTAAAAGGGAGACTATGCGCAGAATAACTAGGATAGGGCCAATTGGCGATACCCTGACGCCACAAATAATCCCATTGAAGTCAACGGGAGCTGCTGGGTGCTCAGGCACTTGAAAGTAAGGTTACTAACTGAGGTGCCTAATCAGAGGGTATTTACCTTTCAGTGACTTGAGTTCTTCTGCAGGGTGTTTTATCCCTGTGTGCGCTCTACCATGGGACATGCATGTGCCTGCACGCTCTTGTTTGGAGATTTGAATTAGCAGTGACTGCAGGTCTGCACCTGTGCACCACGCAGCCTCATGCCCCAAAGCAAGGCCACAGAGAGGAGTGGAACCCGCCGTCACTCCAGAGTCGCAGACTCCACTGCAGAGGGGAGGGAGGGCGGGAGGTGGAGCACCCATAGGGACAAAACGTCTTGAAGAGCTCTACTGAAAGGTAAGTAACCGCTCCTTCTTCTTCGAGTATATGTCCCTATGAGTGCTCCACTCTAGGAGACTTCCAAGGAGTAACTCAACACAGAGGTAGGTGCTGAGGAGGCGGATCCAAGACAGTGGGGAGGATGGAATCATCAAGGGCCGCCTCCATCTTAGATGCAGGTAGGGGATCGCGATGTCTGGAGAACATGTGAATGGAGGACTGAGTTTGCAAATTTGGATGATGGGAACATAATAAAGAGGGCCCAAGAAGTGTATTGAGCCCTGGTGGAATGTGTTGTCACCTGGGGGTGGGAGTTGTATCCTAGTGACATTGTAACAGGTTATGATGCAAGCTGAATCCCACTAACAGAATCTTAAACAAGAGATTGATTGTTCTTTCTAGCTTCCAAAAAAGGATATGAATAATCTTGGAGAAATCCTAAAGATTCTAGTCCTGTCCAGATAGAAGGGAAGTGCCCACCAAACATCTAAAGTGTGAAGACTAGCCTCTTCTCTTGTGGAGCAAGGTTTGGGAAAGAAAATTGGAGGATGGATACTTGAATGATTTGAAAGTCCAACAAGACCTCTGGGAGGAATCAAGGATGCGGGCGTAGTGTTATCTTTGCACAGTAGAAGGCAGTGTAAGTTGGGTCAGGAGCTCTGTGTTCTCCCACCCTTCTACGTGAGGTGATGGCAAGGAATGGTGTTTTGAAAAGGTGGAGGAACAAACAGGTGGCCATTGGTTCAAATGGGGGGTTCATTAGGGCACTGAGGACCAAATTAAGGTCCCCATGGAGATGAGGGGATATGAGGAAACAAATGAGATAAGTCCTCAAGGAATCTGGGTGTGGAGGGGTAGGCAAAAACTGAAAGGCCCTCAATAGGCAAATGAAAGGCCAGAATAACTTCCAGGTGTACTTTGACTGAACTCATAGATAATCCACTTGTTTTGAATTCCCGCAGGTAATAGAGGATTCTGGAGAGAAGATCTTCAGAAATGGATAAAGTGATATGAACACCAAGAAAGAAAGCACTTCCACTAGTGCAGGTAAGTTTTAGGTGTGGAGAGCTTCCTACTATTGAGAAGTACAGAGTGGACCTCCACTGAGCAGTCCAACTCTAACATCGAGAACCATCAAGGAGCCAGGCCTTGAGGTTCAGAGACAGGAAACTGGGGGATTCATGATGCCTGAGTTCTGTGTCTGGAGGTCTGATAGGAGCAGGAGTCATTGAGATCTCTACAGAAAGGTGAAGTAGCTCCCAATACCACACCAGTCTGAGCCAAGGAGGCACAATCAGGATGACCTTCACCTGCTCCTGCTGTTATTTGACCAGTGTCCTGAGAATGAATGAAGTTGGAAGGAAGGCACAGAAGAGGCGGTTGGGCCAGGGAACTAGAAGGGCCTCCCCTAAGGAACTGTGGTCAAGTCTCCCCCAGGAGTCGAAGATTTACCATTTTGTGTCGTCCAGGATTGGAAAGAAATCCGCGACAGGGCTGCCCCAAACTTTGCAAATGTTGCAAAAAATCGGGATGTTGAGCTCCCGCTCATGGGGTGCTGATGGAAAAGAGTCTGCTTCGGGCAATGGCTGCTGTGTCCTGGAGGCCTGTTCGGGAGACCACGGGGATCTCTATGCGATGTGTAATGTGCCAGTTCCACAGTTTTAGGGGTTCTGTGCATAAGGACTGGGACCTTGCTCCCCCTTGTTGGTTTATATAGTTCATCGCTGCCCTGTTGTCGACCATTAACCTGGCACGACAGCTTTGAATGTCACCAAAAAATGTTGGTACACGTAATGAACTGTCCTTCGTTCTAGAACATTGGTCTCAAGCAACATTTCTTGTGGTGACCATTTGGCCCTGCACTGTGGAATTCTGTAAGTGGGCTCCTCAGCCGAGCAGGGAGGCATCCATTGTGAGGATTCATGTTGATGGTGGGCAGGAGAAAGGGGCTCCCACACATACCTTCATAGGGTCTTTCTACCATCCAAAGAAGTCTAGAACCCTTGGGAGTATATAATTCATTCGGTAAGGCTGTGCTTATCTGGTCTGTACACAGTTCTGAGCCAGCCTGCAGACATCAAAGATGTCATCTCTCATGTGTCGTAATACATGCTGAGGCCCACATAAGAGCTGAAGGAAGGGTCTTATTGCTGTCTAAGGCCTCAGCTGTAAGTTAGTGACTAAACTGGAAATGATGGAGAACCTATCCCCCAGAAGATAGGCTCTGGCAGTTTGGGTGGCCAGGGTAGCTCCAATGAAATCTATTCTCTGAACAGATGTCAGCGTGGACTTCCCTCATTTGATAAGGAGGCCGAGAGCCTGAAACAAGGGGAGGGCTCTGTTTTGTTGCTGATTGTACCTTGGGAGCAGATCATCCCTCGCAAAACCAATCATTTAGATCAGAGGTTCTCAAACTGTTGTCCGAGCTCCATTCAGGTGGTCAATGGATAGTTTCAGCCACAGGCGTGGCTCCACTAATTAGGTGCCTGGACCCTGGAGAAGACGCACATGTAAGGTGTGGTGGTAGCCTTGGAGGGAATAGGGGCTAGGTGGCAGTAGACATGGGGTGAGAAGACAGGATGTGGGGAATTTGGGACACACAGGGCTGCGGAGGCCAGAGAAAGAGGTGACTTTCCCCAGCTCCAGGGCTGTGGCTGCCGGGGAGAGACAGCCCTCCTTCCCAGCCTCAGCTCTGTGGCTGCTGTGGCAGGGGAGAGACCCCCCCCCCCCTTCCCAGACCCAGCTCAGGGGCTGCCGCGGCAGGGGAGAGAGGGCACATCCATCACATTAGAAAGGTAAGACTAATGATATTACAATGAGTTGTATGCTTTTATCTGTAGAACAAAAAATGTTAATTATTATTAAGGTTTTTTTTATATAACGGTTTTATCCAAAGCGCTTTACAATAGTTAGCTAACAGTACAAACAACATTTGGAAAGAGCATTAAGTGGTCCGCTGAGATCCTCAGTAATTTTCAAGTGGTCCGCGAAAAAAAAAGTTTGAGAATCACTGATCTAGATTGGGAAAGACAGCAATGCCATCTCGATGTACCTGCAGCTAAAGAGAGGACCTTTGTGAAAGCCCATGGAGTCATGGAAAATGCAAAGGGGAGAACATGGTATTAATAATGCTCTGAGCCAATGACCAACCGCAAAAATGTCTCTGGGAGAGTTGTATAGTGACATGAGAATACATGTCTTGAAGTTGAAGAACAGTAAACCAATCTCCCTGATTCAGGGATGGGATTATGGTAGCAAGAGTCAGCATTCTGAAATGCTGTGAAAGGATATAGGTGTTCAGGTTCCTGAGGTCTAGCATCAGTCCCCAGTCACCGTTTCTTTGGGGAACCAGGAACTATTTGGAGTAAAAAGCTTCTTCCCACAAATTCTGGGGGAACTGGCTCTCTCGTTCCCTGAGTGAAGAGGGACTGAAATTCCTGTTTCAAGAGACCCTCCTGACAGGGGTCCCCGAACGGGGAAGGGGAAGGAGTGGGGAACAGACTGGAAGTGGATAGAGTAACCTGTAGCCACCACCTCTGAAATCCACCTGTGCATGGTGATAAATTCCCAAACAGGTAGGAAAAATGCATGAGGTGGTCCCCAAAGGGAGGGTGGAGGTTGCGTTTGCTCAGCATATTCAGAAAAGAGGATTATTTGAGGCCCTCAACCAGGCCATCAAAATGGTTGTTTGGAGGAAGGTTTGGGTAAGAAAGTTGTTATTGGGGTTGTCCCTTTACTATGAGGCCAGGATCTCCTAGGAGACTCCATAGTCTGGAATAGGCCTGATATTGTTGATGTTGGAATGACTGGTATTGTGCTGTCTGGGATTTACTGACACGTCTTTTTTCCAGGCACATAAATTCCAAGCACCCTCAGGGTAGCGCTAGGATCCTGGAGGGAGTGAAGTGAAGTGTCAATATCACAGCTTTTATCCTTCAAATGGGAGATCTTCCACCATGTTTTGTACCTCACAACAGCAGTGACTAAAGAATGTGAAGCTGTCTCAGTGTTGAGGGCAGCCTGTAAAGAAGCCTTTGCTCTGAGCTAGCCCTCAGAAATGACAGTTTAGAACTGATCCCTCTTGTCCTGTGGCAATTAATTAATAAAACGAGTAAACTTTTCATAGTGATTAGAATCTTATTTAATGATCAGGTTTTGGTAATTTGTTACTCAAAGTTGAAGGGCAACTGAGGAATATCTTTCTGCCACCTCCCTGTTTGGAGGTGTGGATCTGGATCTAGTCTGGCAGTTTCTCTCATTAACTGCATCCACCACCAGGGAATTGTTAGTGGGAGAAGAAATATTCCATCCCCTTGGCCGGTATAGAATTTTTTTGTCTGCCAGTTTACAGGTAGGTTCTAGGGTGGTGTGTGTTTGCCAGAAAGTCTGGGTTGGAGATAAAAGTGCATCTTTAATGGGCAAAGCTATTTTGCTCTGGGGGGTGATGTGAAGAATATCCATAAAAGAGTGCTGAGACTCTTGTACCTC